GGCTGTAGGCCAATTAAACTGCTCCTCATAGTGTTCTTTCCAGCGTTCCAGTCGTCTATCCTGGGAGCTAATTATGTTGACATTTTTCTCAGAGATTGTTTCACTTATCCTTTGCCTTTTACCAAATGATTGTTTGTTTCTCCCGAGCACCACTTAGTCTACGCAATATTATTGAGCCTAGAACTTTAGATACTATATTAGTCAAGCTAATCCCTCTGTGATTATCACAGGAAGACTTGTCTCCCTTCTTGTATATGGGGATAATCAGTGACTTACACCAACCCGACGGGACTTCCTCTGATTCCCAGACGCTGCCTAGTGCCTCAGTTAATGCAGACAGTAAACTGTCTCCACCGTACTTAAATACCTCTGGAGTCATTCCATCAGGTCCTGCTGGTTTGACTCGTTTCAGACTAGTGACAGCTTTAGTAACCTCAGTTAGGGACGGAGGGCCTGTGTGTATAGCCGATTCAGGGAGGTGTTGGATGTTCGCCAGGTTGAGCGTGGCTGTAGGCCAATTAAACTGCTCCTCATAGTGTTCTTTCCAGCGTTCCAGTCGTCTATCCTGGGAGCTAATTATGTTGACATTTTTCTCAGAGATTGTTTCACTCATCCTTTGCCTTTTACCAAATGATTGTTTGTTTCTCCCGAGCACCACTTAGTCTACGCAATATTATTGAGCCTAGAACTTTAGATACTATATTAGTCAAGCTAATCCCTCTGTGATTATCACAGGAAGACTTGTCTCCCTTCTTGTATATGGGGATAATCAGTGACTTACACCAACCCGACGGGACTTCCTCTGATTCCCAGACGCTGCCTAGTGCCTCAGTTAATGCAGACAGTAAACTGTCTCCACCGTACTTAAATACCTCTGGAGTCATTCCATCAGGTCCTGCTGGTTTGACTCGTTTCAGACTAGTGACAGCTTTAGTAACCTCAGTTAGGGACGGAGGGCCTGTGTGTATAGCCGATTCAGGGAGGTGTTGGATGTTCGCCAGGTTGAGCGTGGCTGTAGGCCAATTAAACTGCTCCTCATAGTGTTCTTTCCAGCGTTCCAGTCGTCTATCCTGGGAGCTAATTATGTTGACATTTTTCTCAGAGATTGTTTCACTCATCCTTTGCCTTTTACCAAATGATTGTTTGTTTCTCCCGAGCACCACTTAGTCTACGCAATATTATTGAGCCTAGAACTTTAGATACTATATTAGTCAAGCTAATCCCTCTGTGATTATCACAGGAAGACTTGTCTCCCTTCTTGTATATGGGGATAATCAGTGACTTACACCAACCCGACGGGACTTCCTCTGATTCCCAGACGCTGCCTAGTGCCTCAGTTAATGCAGACAGTAAACTGTCTCCACCGTACTTAAATACCTCTGGAGTCATTCCATCAGGTCCTGCTGGTTTGACTCGTTTCAGACTAGTGACAGCTTTAGTAACCTCAGTTAGGGACGGAGGGCCTGTGTGTATAGCCGATTCAGGGAGGTGTTGGATGTTCGCCAGGTTGAGCGTGGCTGTAGGCCAATTAAACTGCTCCTCATAGTGTTCTTTCCAGCGTTCCAGTCGTCTATCCTGGGAGCTAATTATGTTGACATTTTTCTCAGAGATTGTTTCACTCATCCTTTGCCTTTTACCAAATGATTGTTTGTTTCTCCCGAGCACCACTTAGTCTACGCAATATTATTGAGCCTAGAACTTTAGATACTATATTAGTCAAGCTAATCCCTCTGTGATTATCACAGGAAGACTTGTCTCCCTTCTTGTATATGGGGATAATCAGTGACTTACACCAACCCGACGGGACTTCCTCTGATTCCCAGACGCTGCCTAGTGCCTCAGTTAATGCAGACAGTAAACTGTCTCCACCGTACTTAAATACCTCTGGAGTCATTCCATCAGGTCCTGCTGGTTTGACTCGTTTCAGACTAGTGACAGCTTTAGTAACCTCAGTTAGGGACGGAGGGCCTGTGTGTATAGCCGATTCAGGGAGGTGTTGGATGTTCGCCAGGTTGAGCGTGGCTGTAGGCCAATTAAACTGCTCCTCATAGTGTTCTTTCCAGCGTTCCAGTCGTCTATCCTGGGAGCTAATTATGTTGACATTTTTCTCAGAGATTGTTTCACTCATCCTTTGCCTTTTACCAAATGATTGTTTGTTTCTCCCGAGCACCACTTAGTCTACGCAATATTATTGAGCCTAGAACTTTAGATACTATATTAGTCAAGCTAATCCCTCTGTGATTATCACAGGAAGACTTGTCTCCCTTCTTGTATATGGGGATAATCAGTGACTTACACCAACCCGACGGGACTTCCTCTGATTCCCAGACGCTGCCTAGTGCCTCAGTTAATGCAGACAGTAAACTGTCTCCACCGTACTTAAATACCTCTGGAGTCATTCCATCAGGTCCTGCTGGTTTGACTCGTTTCAGACTAGTGACAGCTTTAGTAACCTCAGTTAGGGACGGAGGGCCTGTGTGTATAGCCGATTCAGGGAGGTGTTGGATGTTCGCCAGGTTGAGCGTGGCTGTACGGCAATTAATCTTCTAGTTTATCTCTTTTCAATCTGTTTATTATTGCGCTAATTTCTATTATTTTGAATCGCTCTGTCTTTTTTTTCCTTTTTTTTCTTTAAACAATAAGCTCTTGTAGGATTTAGACCAAATAAACTGGTTGTCGTAATTTTCTCTACACTGTTTTAATCCTCTGGGTTCTATTTTTTGTTTCTTCTTTTCATAGATTGTTTGACTTTTCGTTAGGCTTTTACAACCTTATTCCTTTTATAATCCTACATACATAAGATATTTTTGATCATTCGCAGTGTTATACAACAACGCAAACTATTTCTTATAATCATATCAATTTGTCTAGTTTTACCTTTCGCCGATGTCTTTGTCATATTTTTCGCTTTTGTTGCCCACCACTGTTCACTTTCGTTCCCAAGACTTCTTTTTAATTTTCGTTTGAGTAGCTTTCGGTCCATATCATAATCCGAGCTCGCCGGAATCAGTCTTCTCGCGTCAATCAGTTCGGATGACGTAGCAGAAATCCACTGTTTATCAATAGCTTTTACATCTGAGTCTACACCTAACTTCATAATGTGCCAGGCATCCTGAGGAGGACTCTAGCTGTTGGTCTCACATGCGCCGTTAGTAATGTCTGCCTCAAATATGGACTCAGTGTTCTATTCATGTTCGGGGGGTAGGAGGTGTAACCGCTTCGTTGCTAACAGTTTATTATGCTCGTTTAATCGCAGGCACAGGTGCGTCGATGGCATAGCGGTTAGCACGCTCGCCATCCATGCACATGGTCCGGGTTCGATCCCCAGCCGACGCACTCCTTTACACCACTAAGCCAGAAATAATGCTGGTAAAGAGGAAAGGGTGGGCATGAGGCTAGAACCCCATCCCGTAAAATTAACACTGCTACAGAACCTTCAAGCAACTAGCCTGAAGTCCTATGTTCCATTGGGGAACGCGAATGAAAAAAAATCGCAGGCACAAACGTGTGCAACCACGACGTTATCAGAGTCAACTCACGTGTTCTGGAAGGAGCGGCAGTCTTCTACTAACCCTCGCAAACGATACCCTATGTCTATGTGATCTGCCTGAGTTCAATGTTGATTTTGTGAAGCTGGCTGCCAGGTTAGGCAGTGTCTCTCTTCATGCCTAAAGTTATCGCTAACCAGGAATAGATGACTTTCTGAACGGAACTGTAGAAAACTATCACTGTCATCGACAAAGGACTCCGTAAGTAACACCAATATACTTCTCAGTTTGGCCTAACTTCCATAACTGAGCATTGAAGTCGCCTGCTAAAACGACTATGTCTCAGTTTTCCTTTTCGCAGTAAACCAGACACTTTTCGTTAGAAATTATTCCTTAATTCATCCGAACTGCAGTCGGTTGGGGAGTATGTAGATAGTATGAAAAGACATCAGTGAGTGGCGCAGTCCTTCCTTCTTCTAACGGACCCGTCCAGACGGACTGCACACGTGCAACTATCTACTGGGATCCTCAATGCTATCCCTATACCTGCGGGTTCTCGCGAAATAGCTGAGGTGTCTTCAGACACCCTTATTTGTGGTTACGGAATGCAATGGAGATGACTCACTAGCCTGCAGAATAGTGTAGATAGCAGTAGGGTAGTACGAAGATTATTTTTTTATATTTTTGATTACAGCTTTATTCCACACTGTATTTTTGCTACAAGTATGGGATTTTCAGCAGGGATATCGGTAGCCCAAATTTTGCAGGCCGACCATAGATATCAGGTGTGCGTCGGCAAGGGATCCAACGTCGGATCATGTGCATGTTCGGCGAGAGTCCTAACATCTGTGCCACCGACGAAGGTGGTGTGGGTGTATTAGAATGATGCTCAGGAAGGTTTCGAGTGCTCTTTTGAGTGTTAAGACGGTTTTTACTACCCGACTACCCACAGCGTGGAAGTTGCTTTATCTTGGGGTACCTGATAAGTGAGAGGGAATTGTTGTTTCGCGACCACAGAGCCCAGGGAACAACTACTTAAGGACGGTCACCCATGGCCTATCTGAACCGGCTTTCTGGTTTGGTTCTGTATTAGTAACTAACCGCCTGCTACGGACCAACGTAGCGGTAAGTCGGGATAAACAACTTTCTCAGTCGACCTTTTCTAATCCCCTGTCTCCAGAGTGGAGAGTCAGCATGGCAGGCATGCTGGTTATCTGAGGGTAACAGCTTACTGCTGTTTCATCCCTATTCCCCAGCAGTACGACTTTGCCCATACAGTGTAAAAAAACACCTCACACCATGCAGGTAACTGCTTCTAGTCTGATCTCCATCCAAACAATCTCCCTCGCATGGTAGGACATGCAGGAACATTACTTTCAGCCAATATAGCTTGTCGGTTTTATTGCGATATGCAAGCCTGATCACCACGTCAAGGTAACAGCTATCGGTCGGGTCAACCACATTAAGGTGTTAGGCAGACGGACTTTAACAAATTATGACTTGAAATAGCAGTCAAATTGGTTCAAGTAGTTGTATTTTATGTCCACGAGTTAAGCTCAAAGTAATCGAAAGGAAGATTATGCAATGAAAGCAAAACAATCCAAAATCACAGAAAGTAAGAAAGGATAAAAGGAAGTATAGTATTACAGATAGCACAAGGGTAAACACTTCTGCCACTGTAATCGATCGAGAGGCATTCCATCTCTAAAAGTACCTAACAACAAAAGGTTCCTACAGTCATGATGGATTTTAGTTGCTCAACACACATTTCTCTTTAAGATCTAAAATTACAAAGAATGATTTCATTGATTAAAAGGGCGTTCTGTTTTTGCCACGCTTGTACCAGATATATGGAAAATTGCGATAAAAACAGGAAGCAGTAAAACAAAAAATAAAAAGACAACAAATCAGAAAGTCGTGTTAATAAATTTATAAGATTATGAGCCGTGAATTACGCTCGAAACTCCATCAAGTAATTAATTTATAAACTGCTGTAGTCCCGTTATTTTTTGGATTGATTATCTGTACATTCTGTGATAGATAGTGAATGAAAGTTAGTGAAAGCAATTGTATTATCTGACTATGACTTTTTTATTTTACTCAATTCAAAAAGAGATAATAAACAAAATTCGTCATCATATATTGTATTGCATTGTATTGTATTGTGTAATCAAAAGTTGTGAAATATCTCCTATTACAATTATAAAGCAAGGGGCCAGTTGAGGAAAAGCAGGCATGATTTTGCTGTCCAGGTATAACAAATAGGATCTAAGCAGAAAGTATAAGATGATGAGGCTTTACAGTTTCACATTTCAATGCCAAAAATAATTTCACTTGCTTGTTTTTGTTTAATGCTCTAAGAAGAAATTTGGGATTACGAAAAATACTCCTAATCATTTGGCTTCGTTAATCCTTTCGTTTCGATGTCACAATTAGTCATGTCTTGTGAATTATCTTTGCCTCCAGGTTCAGTACTAGTTGATTCCTCTGTAGTAACCACCCCACTTGTGTCTGCTTCGTCATTAGCGTTCTGTTTAGTGGCTATTTTGGCGCAGTCTTCAAGCAGTAGTGGCTGGTCACTCTTCTCAATGTTTCTCAGCGAGGGAAGTGAGTGGAAGCGGTCTAACCTATCCACTGTTTGTTCATATATGGAATGGGTGTAACCGTCATTCTGAGAAAGTTCACTGTCGTATATTCCCAAAGTTAAGAACGACCTAGCCCTATCATGACTATGTATGTCGAAAAATTCACAGCCAATATCCTGTTCGTAAAACGCTGATTCTGCACTTTTTTCATGCTGTCCCACCACTTTATCATCATTCACTTGATTTTCTCCATGACTGTTGATTTCGCCAACGGATTTATCATTGTTCGTCTCGGAGTTCGCAGGAGTTTCCTGTTATAAAAATAAATTGAAAGTTATTCGATAAAATACAAGAATAAAATAGCCCAAATAGTATTCACATACATACAGGAATGTCTGCTCCCTAAAATTCATATAAGCATATCATACACTAATAGATTGTTTTTGAGTTTTCTGAATTCAAGGAAAGGTGGCTCATCTGTCTAGGTTTTCGGCCCCAGCCACTGTGTTTGACATCCGAACACTGTCGAATTCAAACAACTCTTCCTGAGTATACGAATGGTGTCGTCGACCGTCGCACTGTGAGTGTGATAGTTAAATTCAGATTCAAAAGGTTACTGATTGCCATTCCATTTTCCACATCTGACTGAACCTTAATACAATCTGGCAGCTACTAACAACAAAATCCAGGTGCTAATATTGTCGTGCAAGGGTAACTTGTTTATTTCATATAAAATGATTATTATCATTCTCTTAGATTCCAAATAGAAGGAAACTCAGCAATTCCAATACATGCACTAGTACATGATAGGGCGGGACAGAGTTATAATTTTGAAAAGTAATGTTATTAGGTGGAAAGATAACTGAATCTTTGTTCATCGAATCTACGCTCAACTGTGGTGAGAGCTAGGTGCTAGCCAAATTGGTAGACAGTAATTTACATCAATGTTTATGTCCCAAATATTAGTCATGTGAAAACAAGAACAAAGACTGACAGCAGACTTTGCGTAGGTGGATACAGTTAGCAGATAGATGACCTGACACTCAAGAAACAGCCTCAAAGAGATGAAAGATTAACTTTTAGTGAGAAACAACCAATCAGAAGACTGTGATTGTTTGCTAACAATAATCTATAATAATGTATATGAAAATCTATAAATATGTGTTAATTTCCTTAATAAACGATCTGTTGCCTGGCTCTTGGCTTCTGTCGCTACAAACACACAACAGGAATGACTCACCACCAACACCAGAGATATGGAAAATATTACTACCAATCAAGTGAAGGGGTAGGAAGTAATGGAATTCTATAAACGAAGTTTGGGAGTTGTGTGAGTGCCTTGGTGTGATTATGAGAAGTAAATTGTGCTTGAAACGTCATTGGTAAATAGTACTGTATCACCGTGTGATTTTATCAAACAAATTCACTTTATGATAGAATTACACTATCACAGTGCCCAAGGTTTGTAATATCAATTTACTCTTGTTTGTAGTATCAAGGCTTCGAATTCCCTATTATTTGCATTACGTACACTGTCACCAACAGCACACACAGAACAGCCTGCCAGTGAATGCAAGTCCTCAACGAAAGCTGAAATCCTGAAAGCCCCTGAAGGGCAACCGGGAAGGCAGCAGTACCAGATGGAATTCCCCTCCAATCCGAAGCACAAACAAAGAACAGACCCAGAGACTAACCAATGAATATTCATGTAATCGAATCAGGAGTTAAAAAAGTAACTGAGGGAATTTAAATGATGAAAACAAACAAGTAAGGTGAGGAATACTAGTGAACAATCACTCACCAGATTTTATGGGGAAAAGTTTGAAATTAGAGAAAACAAAAGTAGCCATATAAATGATGACGAATGCAAAGCCTTTATATTGCTCCCCATATAACGGCGGAACAGCAGGCGTCCTATGCCGGAAGCTGGAATTAAGGTGGCAGTGAAACTAGCCGACTGAATTAGGGACAAAATTTGTCGGTATTAAGGACTCGATAAACCCAATTAGGAAAAATAGTACAATTTACCAGATATCATATAACCACCGTGAGCATAATTCTAATACAAGTTAGATTGGTAGATGAGGATCAGTGAGATCATCGGAACGTAGGATTTTAAGTGGATCTAGAATGAGTGTGTCTATGTTCTAGAATCTGTCGAAGAGTGAAGATATGATCTATGCACCCTCTACCTGGTCTAAAGCCTGCTTGATTTTCCCTTGTCTGTTCCTCCCGAGTTCTGCTTAGTCTATGCATGATTACTGAGCCTAGGATTTTAGAGACTATGTTCGTTAGGCTGATCCCCCTATGATTATCACACGAGGACTTGTTTCCCTTCTTGAATATCGGTATAATAAGTGACTTACCCCAGTCTGATGGAACTGTCTCTGATTCCCAGACTTTGCCTAGTACCTCAGTTAATCTACAAACTAGTATGTCACCCCCATATTTAAACACCTCCGGAATAATTCCGTCGGGTCCTGCCGCTTTGCCTCGTTTCAAATTACTGATAGCTTTTGTGACCTCACTTACAGACGGCGGACCAGTGTCTATATCCCATTCGGGTGTATGGTGGATGGCGGGGAGGTTCAGTGTGGCTGTAGGCAAGTTAAATTGTTCAAAGTGTTCTTTCCAGCGTTCAAGGCGTCTATCCTGAGAGCTAATTAAGGAGCCATTTTTCTCAGAAATAGTCTCACTTATGATTTGCCTTCTCCCACCCGTTTCCCTGATGAGTCTAAAGAGTTGCCTAGTGTTGCCTATCGCCGATGCTTTTTCCATCTCTTTGCCTTTGTCACCCACCACTGTTCACGGTCCTTGCGGAGACTTTTAGTAAGTTTCCTTTTGTGCAGCTTTCGCTCCTCATTGAATTCGGAGCTCGCCGGAATAAGTCTTCTAGCATCTATCAGTTCGGATGAGGCAGTCGAAATCCAGTGGTTTTTACTCACCTTTGGATTTGCCTTATTCACAGCTTTTACAGCTGTATCTATAGCTGACTGAATATTCTTCCAGGCTTCTCCAGGGTGAGCACAGCTGTCGAACACAGATATGCGTTTAGCTAGTTCTTCCTCAAATAGGGATTTAGTTTCCTGATCGAGCTGGGGACGTGATGGTTTTACCGCCAGCTGTTTCCTACGTCCGTTCAGTCGTAAGCACACACGAGCCCGGACCAGTGCGTGATCGGTATCTACACACGTGTTCCAGAAGGAGCGACAATCTCCTACCGACCCACGCCAACGATAGCTTATTGCTATGTGGTCTATTTGTGTCCAGCGTTGGTTTGATGATGGGGGTCGCCAGGTTAAACAGTGTCTCTCCTTGTGTTTAAAGTTAGTGCTTACAAGAAACAAATGATTATCTGAACAGAACTGTAGGAGACGGTCACCGTTGTCGGTTCGCTGGCACGGAACTCCATAGGTGCCACCGACATCCTTCTCAGATTGACACAATTTCCCTACTTGAGCGTTAAAGTCACCAGCTAGAACGACTATATCTGAGCGTTTAGCCTTTCTCACCAAACTAGACAGCTTTTGGTAGAACTCATCCTTCGTTTCATCCGAACTGCAGTCAGTGGGGGCGTAGGCGGAGATTACGAAAAGGCATCGGCGAGTAGTGCAGTCCTTTCTCCTTCTTACTGATCCGTTCAGACGGACAGCACACATTCGGCTATCTACCGGGATCCAGTCAAGCAATGTCTTTTCTGCCCTAGTACTCAAGCTATCCCTACGCCAGCTAATCCTCGTGAACTAGCTGTGGCATCTCCTGACACCCTCAAGGTGAATTTTGAAGATTCATCCTGTTGGCCAGGTGGGGTTAGGTGAATAACCACACTTGGGTCTTGTATGCGTGTTTCTGAAACACAACATACATCAATGGCTCGAGATGCCAGGGTCTTAGCTAGTGATGCTTGTTGTCCTATTTGGCAAAGTGTCCTAACATTAAATGCTCCTATATGAAATTGGTGGCGTGGCTTTAGGAGACTATCGGTGGTGGTTTTTTGGCTTTCGTCGTTTTTAGTGGACACAGAGTGAAGAGGGAGTGAGGAGCCATCAAGTAGAGGAGTTGCATCAGTGGGAGGAAGGCAAGGTAATAGAGATGAAGATGAAGACAAAGATAAGTGAGGATTAGAGAGGTTTCCTACATTGATGCTGAAACACTTACCGAACTAACTTGATTCTCATTGGAAACATTATGATTATTAGGTATATTAGGAACATTTGAACTACGCGTTCTTTGATTTGGACGCGTCACCACCTCTTTCCTTGATGGAGTAGAATGAGCGTTGGACTGATTCCTCTGAGTTTGATGCCGATGATGCTGTTGATTATTATTTGTATAATTTTGATGATGATGTTGTTGACGTTGTTGTTTCTGAAATTGATTAATAAAACGATGACGATTAGAAGATGATTTTGTTGAAGAAGAAGAGAATAATAACAATAAATCATCTGACTGCCATTTGGAAAGCGGTACAGACAATATTGGATCAGGCAGAATTGGACGATCAACAATAAAATTCTACACAGAAAAAAATATACGTATGCAGCACAATTATTAATACATACATGTGTTTAGAGATGACAAAAGTATTAGGGCATGAGTGTGTATTATTATTATTATTATTATTATTATTATTATTCACGATGTCCAGCCCAAAGAAATTCAATTTACACGTACGCACATTCATACATAAATAGATCAGCGTTGCAGGGCCAAAAACGAAATTGCATAATAGAGCAAATTTTCATCATCACAAATAAGTTACAAGCAAATACAAACAACAGGAATAGTGATAATCAATCAAGGATTATGATACACACACACATACACACGCAAGCACATAATCAAGTGTGCGTAGATATCAAATATATACACAGAAAAACAATGTTACCCCATAATGTATATACACAAAAGAAGTCCAGTACGATAGATGTGTATAACCAACAGGAAAAAAGGAAAGAAAAGAAAAATGTTTTCACTCAATGCAAACAATTTATATTTCTAAGACAAAGTCACTCAGTTGTACAATAAACAGAATCCTATTTACTTGTTCCGTATTTTGAGGAAATAACATACCTCTTTTCTGTTTGTTTCAACATTTTTAGGCTTTCGTGTGATGGCCTCAGCTTACTAGCAAATGTAACCTATCCTTCCAAACTGATTGATTATGTGCAACATTTTGACATTTGACAGCCTACATCACATGAATGTTTTAAACGTTAACTAGATAAATTGATACGTCGTAATGCTCAGCACTGATCGAGTTTTAACCACAAATTTTTAAATAAGTTATATAAGGTGAACAGTATATTAATGAACATTACAGTATTCATTGTCAGTTAACTGTCAAACTGAATTTCTCACATCGTTCATAAGAATGTATACGCTTGTACTGTACAAACACTTCTCACACTTTCTTCATAAATCACAGTCTTCATCAATTCAAGCAACTTCTCAAAACATTGTACGATATGGCTTAGAATACTTTATTTGTTTTAAATCAAAAGTGAATACACTTCTGATAGGATTATGTCGCATGCGTTGAACACACTCAAATGCTGGAAGATTCGCTGCGACATCCTCACTAAGCCGTACTTTTAAATGTCGATGCACCACATAAAAGGGAAATTCTGAACTTAAATTCAAAAATTCTATGGAAAGGGTTACTTCCAGTGACTAGGTTTTCGAGGTAGGAATTTATAAAGAAAAAAGGCGCAATAGTTCATGCAGCCACACTCCAAACAGGATGTAAAAAAAACACAGAAAGAAGCAATACAAACAATTTACAGCAAGCGAATATTTATGGAGGGGTGAAATAATGGCGTACCTGAGAGTTAATGAATACATCCACAACAATAAAAGAGATTTTGAGTTGAATCACCAATAGACTCAGTCATTGGTATGTGCAACGCGTGTCCTAGCCATCTCAATCGATTCACCATAACGACTTCATCGACTGACTGACTGACTGACTTACCCTCATCACCTATCAATACACCTCTCTATAACCTCTATATTACTCAACATACTATATATACCACTTAACACACGAGACAAAACGAAAACATCTCTGGTGAAAGACAGCTACTCCTACCGCACCTTCCACTTCCAGTGGACACATCTCATAATCATGAAGAATCACAGGGAGAAATACTAAGCAGTGCACGCGTTCTTCCATCGATAGTCAGCCGGATACCACGTCTACACCAGACATAAGGTGACTTCCCAAGTGTCGCGTGAGCCCTTTGTATCCGTTCCAAAATCTCGTCATTAATCAGTCCATTGGGGGTCATCCAACCACCCAAATAAGTGAGGTGGTCGACACACCCTGCCACTTATATGGAAAATCCCCATATTCAAATAAAAAAAAATTTGGGCGAACGATTGTTTTCGACAACATCTTCTTCAGCCACAGCTAGTTCACGAGGATTAGCTGGTGTAGGGATAGCTTTGAGTACTAGGGCAGAAAAGACATTACTTGACTGGATCCCAGTAGATAGCCGAATGTGTGGTGTCCGTCTGAACGGATCAGTAAAAAGGAGAAAGGACTGCACTACTCGCCGATGCCTTTTCGTAATCTCCGCCTACGCCCCCACTGACTGCAGTTCCGATGAAACGAAGGATGAGTTCTACCAAAAGCTGTCTAGTTTGGTGAGAAAGGCTAAACGCTCAGATATAGTCGTTCTAGCTGGTGACTTTAATGTTCAAGTAGGGAAATTGTGTCAATCTGAGAGGGATGTCGGTGGCACCTATGGAGTTCCGTGCCAGCGAACCGACAACGGTGACCGTCTCCTACAGTTCTGTTCTGATAATCATTTGTTTCTTGTAAGCACTAACTTAAAACACAAGGAGTGACACTGTCTGACTTGGAGACCCCCATCATCAAACCAACGCTGGACACAAATAGACCACATAGCAATAAGCTATCGTTGGCGTGGGTAGGTAGGAGGCTGTCGCTCCTTCTGGAACACGTGTGTAGATACCGACCATGCACTGGTCCGCGCTCGGGTGTGCTTACGACTGAACGGACGTAGGAAACAGCTGGCGGTAAAACCATCACGTCCCCAGCTCGATCAGGAAACTAAATCCCTATTTGAGGAAGAACTAGCTAAACACATATCTGTGTTCGACAGCTGTGCTCACCCTGGAGAAGCCTGGAAGAATATTCAGTCAGCTATAGATACAGCTGTAAAAGCTGTGAATAAGGCAAATCCATAGGTGAGTGAAAACCATTGGATTTCGACTGCCTCATCCGAACTGATAGATGCTAGAGGACTTATTCCGGCGAGCTCCGAATTCAATGAGGAGCGAAAGCTGCACAAAAGGAAACTTACGAAAAGTCTCCGCGAGGACCGTGAACAGTGGTGGCTGACAAAGGCAAATGAGATGAGAAACGCATCGGCGATAGGCAACACCAGACAACTATTTAGACTCATCAGGGAAACGGGTGGGAGAAGGCAAATCATAAGTGAGACTATTTCTGAGAAAAATGTCAACATAATTAGCTCTCAGGATAGACGACTGGAACGCTGGAAAGAACACTATGAGGAGCAGTTTAATTGGCCTACAGCCACGCTCAACCTGGCGAACATCCAACACCTCCCTGAATCGGCTATACACACAGGCCCTCCGTCCCTAACTGAGGTTACTAAAGCTGTCACTAGTCTGAAACGAGTCAAACCAGCAGGACCTGATGGAATGACTCCAGAGGTATTTAAGTACGGTGGAGACAGTTTACTGTCTGCATTAACTGAGGCACTAGGCAGCGTCTGGGAATCAGAGGAAGTCCCGTCGGGTTGGTGTAAGTCACTGATTATCCCCATATACAAGAAGGGAGACAAGTCTTCCTGTGATAATCACAGAGGGATTAGCTTGACTAATATAGTATCTAAAGTTCTAGGCTCAATAATATTGCGTAGACTAAGTGGTGCTCGGGAGAAACAAACAATCATTTGGTAAAAGGCAAAGGATAAGTGAAACAATCTCTGAGTAAAGTAGTAGTGAAGTGGTAGAGCACGTTGACCGCTTCACTTATTTGGGAAGTACCATCAGCCAGTGCCAACGGGTTGATCTCTGACGAAATCTCCGCACGAATACATGGGGCTCGCTTCGCATTTGCCAGTTTACGCCGACTCTGGCGTAGACGAGATGTTCGACTATCGACCAAAGGGCGGGTGTACTGCTCATCAGCCCGCTCCGTCCTCCTTTATGGTTGTGAGACCTGGCCACTGAGAGTGGAAGACATGAAAAGACTAGCTGTCTTTGATCATAGATGCCTGCGCTCTATTTCCCGTGTAAAGTGGCATAATGAGGTGAGCAACATTGAGGTTAGGCGTAGAGTTCCAGGTAAACAGGGGAAATCAATCGACGAAGTCGTGAAGCTACAAAGACTGAGATGGTTAGGACATGTGTTACGTATGCCTAGTCATCGCCTCCCTCCACGAGCAATGTTAGCGGATATAGGGTCAGGCTGGAAAAAAGCTAGCGGGGGTCAAACAAAAACTTGGCACCAGTCAATGAAACCCACAACAGTTGGTCTCAGCCACGTAGGAAGGTGTAGACTTCTAGACTGGGGTCCTCGAGACGGTAAAAATCTATGGTTGGAAACAATTGGTGACATGGCTCAAAATCGTTCTCGATGCACAGCGCAGATGCATCCACTCCTTGTGACTTATGATCTCCAATGAAACTGTTTTGTTCTTCGTTATTACTATTCCTTTGTCTCACACCTCTGCTCACTGTCTCTATTATGCTTTTCTTGTACTTTCTTCTCTTGCTTCGCGTGCTACACGGAGTGTGGCGACTTGAATTTCCGCACATCAGTGCAAAGTTCTATGTCGAAAACAGACAGACAGACTTCTTCAGGCTCCACAGTTATAAATCCATGAATAATAGAGTACATATAGCCAATTAAGACAAACGAAAACAGTTTCAGAAACTGTATAGGGGTGCATGTGCAAGTTGAGATGATAGTGCATTAGTTAACATAGTCAATTTTTATAGCGTGTATAGTCAGGAAAAAATGTGATGAAGCGTGAATGAACAATTGGGTGATATATTGCTGTTTTATATTCTGCAGTCATTCTAGATGTGCTTCGTTTCAGAAAAAAGGCAGTCTTTGTAACCTCAGTCATGGAGGGAGAACTGAGTTCCATATCCCATTCAGGTGGGCATTAGATATTTAGTAAACCGAGCGAGATCGTTGTCCATTTGAATGGTTCCTCAGTGTTCCTTTCAACATTCCAGTCGTCTATCCTGTGGGCTAATTAATGCACCGCTTTTCTCGGAGGTTATCTCATTTATTATCTGTCTTCTGCAACGTGTTTCCTTAATTAATCTAAATAGTTGCCTTGTGTCATATATTACCAGTGCCCCTTCTATCTCTTTCTCTTGAAGACTGATGCACAAGTTGTTGAGAAAACTCTGCATTTTGTTGGCGTCTTCACCTAGGAGCCGGACTATATCATTTGCATATTCTAAGTCAACAAGATTATTCCTTGTTGGTAACAAATCAATCG